GTGTACTGTTTTTACATTAATAACCTTTTTTACACCAGCAGGCTGTCTTGCAGGTTCTCTTGCCTCTCCGACTCCTAGGCTTCTGTCCTCCGGCGCTTGCTGCATCCACCCACTGATGACGTCAGCAAGCGCCGGACACACGTAATGCGCTGCTATGGACTGTGGAGCGTCCCCCCGCTTCCTCCGCCCCTTAGGCCCCAGACGGATGATGCGCAGCTTCTCAGAGGCTAAAGCCATTGGAAATATGTATTTTCCGATGGCTTTAGGCGACCCCTGTGTTTTGGTCATTCGACCCCCGCCGGGGTCACGACCCACAGGTTGAGAACCGCTGACCTAGTAGGATCAAGAGGACCATTTTCCTTTGTCTATGACCCAGTAGAGATTATTCACCAACTAAAGGGAATTATTCAGCCTTCCCGATGTCATTGGATTATGAGTCCCATCAAAATGACCTTTGACGTGGAATGCTGGGAGTTGCAGTAAAAAAAACATTGAAGGGGCACATTTTCCTAATCCCATGCCCTACACATAGCATATATACCATGAGTGTTTTTTAGGGCCTGTACAGGCTGCCAGAAATAATCCATCTTGAGACCACTTTAACTGCCCTGGGTCAATGCTACGGAATCATGGGAACTGTAGTTTATTGTGGCACCAGAGCTCTCTGACAGAGAAGGCTCAATGTCTCAGAAAAATCTACAACTCCCATGATTCCTTAGCATTGATCCAGGACAGTTAAAGTGGTCTCAAGATGTATTATTTCTGGCAGTCTGTACAGGCCCTAATGGCCAGATCAGTATCTGCTAAGGACTATGTCTTAGTACCCTCAGTCCTCTGCAGGAGTTGGTGATAGATAAGATAGCTAGACCTTACAAATGGATGGTCTTCGATGGTTCCCGGAATGCTCTTGGGATGTTCTGGGCATAGTCTTTTGTTGAACGTTTGGTGTTATGGTTAAACACATTAGGTCCCTTCCAGAAAACAGAAAAGAGTGGCAGCTCTAGTGTCTTGTAAAATAGCTTGTCACACCAGTAAGAGTGCAAACTTTTCAGCTGGCTTCTGAAATATAGTATGACAGTGTATTACACAAGTTCATATAACATGGGTTCACTTACATG